TTGGACCCCCTTGGGTCACCAATCTTCACCTGCCGCTACAGCAGGCAACCTACTTGCAGCTCGGACCGCTCACCCACTGTTGCAAGTGACCCACCAACCCTTAAATGCCGGTACATAAGCCTATGCACGCCAGGACTTGCATGGCCTTGGCCGTTCTCATGGCCATCGATGGTACGTGGGTACTTGAACAACCTCGGTCGTCATTAGTGATGAGGCACCCCAGGTTTGAGTGGATCAAAAGAGTGAGCCATGCCTGCTGCCAGATTATATAGTGCATGTTGGGTTTCTTCTGTTGTGCCTCTAATTCTGGAAGCATCACCAAACTGTTGCTTGAGCTCAGGTATACTCTCAAGCCTTCTGGATGCGAGCTTGGGGGAGTCCTACAATGAAAAGGACGAAGCTCTTCAGCAACTCCTCCGGTATCCAGATTTTCCAAACTACGCCTCAGATGCTTCGCGATGCCAAGACCAAGAATCCTAGTGCTCCAAAGCTAGTGTCGAGATATGTGGATGCCAATGGGAAGAAAAGATTTCAAGGCAACAAAGTATTGCCAAAGAGCCAGCCATTGTCTTAGCTTTCGAACTATGTTTTCGCCGGTGAGCATAAGTCCTCTGAGAGCCCGCATGTGCCCATGTAACGCAACAGCTACCTCAGGGTGTATCCAGTCCGATATGCGCGACGATTCGCTACTTTCTCCGAGCACATCATGAAGCAGCGATATAATCTATTCGATTCGAGTGCCCCAGCCGCTGTGATGCATATATATATATATAGCATACGCACTTAAGAACGTCTGCTTCTCAGCCGGCCACCGAGGTCAGCCGAAACGACATCATCTACCGCTTCCTCACCTGTGCGGACATATGTGACAGGTGCGAGGATGCCCAGCTCTTGCCAGTGCTGGAATATGCCTATGGCAACAGAGCTTTGCGACTGCCTTCTGAATGGCAAACCCTAATTCGGCAGGTTCTGCGGGGGTAATATGGCCCGAATCAGCTTTCAGTTGGCTCGAAGCAAAAAACCACCAACCTGCCACTGTGCAAGCTTTCGGCGTCAAGTTAGCACTTTTAGGCGTAAAGTTGGCAACAATTTCCATCACAAACTGATGCCTAGAAACGGCAACTTTCCGTAGCCCCGCAAAGCCATCCCAAAGCCGATTTTGCGCCTTCGTGCGGGAGTTTTGCGGGAGGTGTCCTTTTCGGAGCTTTTGGTGCCTTTGCGGGGCGGGGTTTGCGGGAATTCTGTCTTTGCGGGCCAGGTTTGCGGGATATAGGTCTTTGCGGGTGTTTGGGGGCAAGGGTGTGCGGGAATTGGGTCTTGATTGCGCTTGGGGTTTGCGGGAATAGAGTCTTTAGGCTTTACGGGGCTGGGTTTTGGGGGAATTGGGTCTTTAGTGGGCTGGGTTTTGCAGGAATTGGGTCTTTAGGGGCTTGGGGTTTGTGGTAATTTTATCTTTATAGGGGCTTGGGGTTTGCGGGAATAGGGTCGTTAGGGCAGGGGTTTGGCTGGAATTCAGCTGGCCTTGTGCCTCTTTGTGGCAGGTTTATCTGTGCTTTCGATGATCGTGAATTCAGATCGATCGAAGTGTTGTGGCTGCTTGATGATTGATTTGTTCAAGCCTTCTTGTGTTGTATATATACGGCGCCTAGAGATTATGCCTGGGCTGCTTCCGGGTGCGAAGTCGATGGCTTGGAGTTGCCAGTCGCTAAAGCGAGGGCTGTCTTACTTGGATGGCCAACAGTCTGGTTTGGCGATGCTAGAGGTCCCCCGATTGCATAATGTACAATGTATGCATAGGCATTTCACCCTTAAACCTTAAACCCTGTCTGTAAGGCTGCCAAGCGCCGCCTCGCAGAGCTGGAAGAGATGACATCCACCCCTCCACCTGCGAAGAAGGTGGCTGCTACAGCGACCCTGCCAACACCCGTCCCAAGCCCAGCATCGGCTTCGCCTGTAACCCCGGTGTCTAGCCACTCCCAGACAAAAGCCTCAAAGCCTGCATCCAAACCAGCATCGGTCAAGGACTCCTGTGAGAAGCAGCATGCATGCATGCTCAATGGTGCAGTTCTATATGTTGTGCTGCTGTGTAGGACTTGCATGCTGTCACAGCAAGCCCTGCTGACACTTGGCTGGCTCTATGCAATGACTATACAAACTGAAGCTTTACTGATCGCGCTACCGCCCGACCCAGGACCATGAAGATGATGAGGATGATGAAGCTGATGAGGGTTCCTCTTCGGAAGAGGATGACAACGAGGATGCGGAGACTCCTGTTCCGAACAAGCCCAAGAAAGCTGTGAAGCCCAAGGACCATTGCCCGCTGCCCCAAAGCTCCTTCATTTAAGTCATGATATCGGACAGAAACCCAAACACCTGATGCCCTAAGTTTCAAAACTACAGGACCCTACCTTGCCAGATGATCCTAAAGCTCTGGCAAACCTGAACGCCACCTTGAAGCGCATCTGCACGCCGAAGAAATCGTCGGGACGCCTGGACGTGTCCCCCGAGATATACAAGCAGTGGATGCAAGGTGGCGAGGCACGAAAGTGTTTGCTACGAGCTCTGGTGAAATGTGATTGCGTCAAGGACACGACCCTAAGCCTTACACTTTATTATTGTGCCTTAAGATTGTTATGTTTCGGATTATAAGGATTTAGGTTGTCCCCCGAGCACACCTTCCGTAATATACCCTGAAATACTTTTGCCACAGCCAGGAGCAGTTCATCCACCGCCTCGAGTACCAGCGCCAGCACATGAGGTCAACCAAAACCACCGTAAAGAGTGGTTTCTACACGAAGAAGCAGATGAAAGACGACCTGAAGTTCGACAAGTGCCCTGTACAATCGGTTCTTAGCTATGGACAGTCTTCTGCAACACGAGATTAGACGGCTGTTTTCTCTCTATCACCGAGGGACAGGATTGCTGCAATTGTGGCATACTGTATGCACCCCAAGAGGATCAAGACCCACACCAGGCAGCTCGAATCAATAAGTTATTGGTCTTTAATTTGGGCGGGTTGCTGTTTCGGGCTTCCTTTATAATTGTTTGCATCGTCACTTGTGCCTCAGGATGATTCAGCAAAAGTGACGGGTCGTTGTCCAAGGCTAGCTGCAGCGAAACTAGAGAGAAGGCAGGATGTATAGTGAGAGTGTATAGTGAGGGAACAGAGAGTGCAAAGGAGGAGAGAGAGAGAGAGAGAGAGAGAGAGAGAGAGAGAGAGAGAGAGAGAGGATGTATATATAAATTATTCAGCATACAATATAGAATATATCGATCATACCAAGGCGAGACAAATACCAGCGCAAGCTCATCGAATACTATGTCGATGTTGAGACCCACTGTATCCGGGAGAACGGGTTCAGTGAAAAGCTCACCTCCAGCTACCTGGGGGAGGGTGGGCCTCCGGATGAGTTGGAGATGGGGGGCTTCTCTGGTGAGCCCATGGCAGCATTCGGGGCTTCCGAGAACGAAGCCGCACCAGATGGATCTGATGATGATGATGATGGCGAGGCTGGTAGCAAGCGCCGCGGCAAGAAAGATAAGTCGTCCGATGATCTGAATCGCGAACATGCCCTGGAGGCGAACGAGATTCAAAAAATGAGTATATGCATATGGGAGAATCACATACCCTTCCCTGCCTGCCCTGTGCCGTGTAGGCTGCCGAGAACCTGGGCGAGATTATGTCGAATGTTCTTCGAACACAATCGAAGTTGCAACAGACCGTCGACAAACTGGCCGCTCAGGGTGCCACTGCTCCGTAGCTTGCTTTCATAGTGCAATTGATGGGTGTGTGTGTGTGTGTGTGTCTCTTTCGTGTCAATCAAACCAAAAGTACTGCCGAAATCTTCTGCATGACTGAGGGAGACAAAGAACATCCGCGACCACTTGGCCAAGGTTAGTGGCCTCCATGATAAGTTGGCTGATCTGAAGGCAGAGTTCGACGCATGCCGTGGTGAACCACCAGTGGCGACTCTTGGCTGAGACGTTTGCCCTGAATCTTGAGATGCATCATGTGCCCCAGCCCATCCCCGAAAGGCAACTTCAGAAGCTGAAGGATACGATTCGACAGGTCGAGACTGCGCGAGGGCCTCGTGCTATCCATTCCATACATGCACTTGTAAGCCCGAAGCACCAAGCCCTGAACCCGCTAAACCCATATCGGCTCAATCAGGTGCAGTCGTGCCACCATGGAAGATACGAAGATGAAGAAGAAACTTGGCTAGCATGATGCTCGCTTCCCGAGCAACGAGCCAACAAACTCACCCAATCAGCCCCAACCGTCCAAGGACCGTGCTCCGGAGACCATCGTCGTCGGAGATCCCGGGAGCCAAGTCTGATGATGAACAAGGGACAGATTCAGGATCGAGGTCGAAGAAGCCAAGGGCTAAGCAGCCTAAGGCTAAGGCGGGTAAGAAGGGTAAAAATGCAAGGGCAAAGTCTGCCGGCAAGAAGCGAACCAAGTGAGTTTCACACTTTTCTGTATGAAGGGCCTGGGTCGTGGCTATACAATCGATACTCTAATGATGCGCATAAAGTCGATATGTTTTGAGGCTACGATGCTGGGCACAGGGGTTTTGCCTGTACAGTGTTATGTGGCAGCAACCGTAGTACTGGAAGTAATCTTGACTTACTGGATATGCTTCAGTAGAGGAACGTGTTTCGTTGCCACCGTGACACAAACAGGAACGATCGCCTGGCGGGATTTGGATTACCAACCGCCGAAATGAGAACATGGGGGTTCTTTCTGCTGCAGCTCCGCGAAACATGCTGAATCCGAGAAAAAAGTCTGTAAATGTGTTGCATGCATGAGAACGAAGCAAGTGCCGGATCACATGTTAAATTGCACTATGCAAAACCAAACCCTGTGGCCTCCAACAGGTGCTGTTCCATCCCCGTCGTCGACAAGCACCGGTCCTGCAGCAAAGGCTTTAGCACGTGCTGTTGCCAAGGGAGTAGCTTGGATGAAGTATTGATGTTCGTTTTGAACATGTACCGATTCCATGTTTGCGACGATCGACCGTCCCAGAGCTGAGGTTAGCGAGAAGGAAGCATGTGCTATTGCTGAAGCAGTATGGTCTGAATTTTCCCAACTACCTGGCGCATCTTCAGTGCCGAGCAGCTCCTTCATCCAGAAGGCTACAAAACTTGCTAAGACCTCCCACGAAAATTCATTCACTGACGTTTGTGAACGATTTGGGTTGCGAGCCCAAGTTCCTGTGTCTTTCGTGGATGTGGGACTGAAAGATGATCATCCAATCCTATCCGTCGCAGACATGATCGGTTGTTTGTCTGAGAAAAACAAGCTTGACCTGTTGCTGACTGGACATAGCCCCTCCCAGTTCCAGCGATTTTGGGAACAATGGAGAGGCTCGAATTCATCCCATCCAGTATTTCAGCAACACGAGGGCAGGCTCGACACTTGCGTGCCAGTATATATTCATCTCGACGAGGGCACATCTATCAAGAAGCGAGGATTGATGGTAACCCATTGGCAGCCCACTTTGGGCAAAGGAACATCGCGAAACAAGAATGACATGAATATGCTGGGGGCAAGCATCACCACGAGGTTCCTCTACAGTTGCATGCTAGCCAAAGTGTACGGTGGGAAACAGAAAAACAAACCACTGTTGGAGTTGACGAAGCATCTCGCACAAGAGCTCCGCATGCTGTTCTACGACGGGCTGTTGGTGAAGGTGAATGGAAGTTCTCAAAGGCTCTTTATCATATGCATCGGCATGAAGGGAGATTGGGCGGGGTTGGCAAAAGTCGGGGCACTCAATCGAAGCTTCCATCATGACACCCCTTCAAAGCCATTCGGCAACGGGATCTGTCACTTGTGCAAGGCGGGTCGAGAGAACCACCCGTGGCATTTGGTGGACTACGAGTCAATGGTGCAGGCACACCAGGACGTCCCTCCACCATGGCGGCAAGAGCCGCCACTCGTGCAATTTATTCCTTGCAACCCTTACAAGGCGTCGTTTTTCCGGATAGACATGTTCCACACATGCCACAAAGGGCTATGCGCCGACATCGCGGCGAATGGCATCGTCCCTCTGACCCAACCGTCATGAAGGACTCGAGTTGTAATTTGCTTTCTATACTATACTCCATCTGGGTTATAGATAGCTTTGTCTTGGTTGTGTGGTCCCTCCTACCCAGGTCACCCTAATCGACTTGGAAATCTACGGTACTGCAGACGTCAAGATTCAGCTCGGGGTTATCTATGAAGAACTGCGGTTCTACTGTGCAAACGAAGGCCTTCAGCTGCACATGATGGGGCTTACCCGGACTTTGGTCGGGTACGGCTCTTCAGCTGAATACCCGACCGGGAAACTTGGAAGCATACTCGAATCCAAGTTTTTTGTTTCTTATAAAAATATAAATATACTGATGCATAGAGTTTGGGGTGATTACTGCAGGAACTGGTTCAAGGGGGCCGACACGGTGTCCATATGCAAGTTCTTGCAGCACAAGTTTGCTTCGGTGCTGATAGCTTGTGAACAGGATGCACAGCCTTATGTTCGAAACATCTTGACAATGCTTCGGGCCTGCAACAAGTTTATGTCGACGATGTACCATGGGGATGTTTTTCTGACGAACGACGAGAGGAACACCCTCATTCGCACTGGATATGTGATTACCAGCAAGTTTACTGCTTGCGCCTCCCATGCATTTCTCACCTTGAACATTCCGCGGTACAAGTACCAACCAAAGTTTCACTTTTTTGCAGAGGTTGTCTTCAAGCTTGAAGAAGACCGGAGGGCTGGTGTAGCATCGGTAAACCCGGTGCTAGAATCAACCCAAATCGATGAAGACTTCATCGGAAGAATATCAAAGTTCTCACGGGAAGTTTCAAGTCGAACGATCCATATTCGGACATGTAAGAAATACCTGATGTCTTTAGCATCGCTATGGTAGTGGTGATCGTGCGCTTCCCATGCACTGCCTCATGATTTACATCAAGCCCAGTCCTTCGTGCAATAGTCCAACGATCACCTGCACCATGGCTGGTTCGTACAGACCTGAGCACGGCTCAAAGTTTCGGGTAGTTGTGTTGGTACCTTTTGGCTGGCACTTGCAGGACCTGAGTCGCGGGCTAAGGCAAAAGACGATCATCGCGAAGCGCTCGTACATCTTTGGGAGGCTTTCAGTGTTTTATGAATCAACAAAGCAAGGGATCTTGAAATCGCGATTTAGAAGTTGCTGATTGTGGGAACGAAAACCGACAACAGTGGGGAGTTGCCGCTTTTAAACGGCCACCGGGTTTTGCAGGTAAACCCTAAACTCCTAAACTTCCTTCCCTCCACAGACCACCCAACCACCCATTGCCAACCCCACCCCATGCCACAACAACCCAAACACATCCACACATACCGCCCCTTGCCAGCCAAAACAAACCCCAGCAGCCTCCCCCCGATACTACAACAACCCCAACAGCCCCCACAAACCCCCCCACTCCACCAACAGACAACCCAGACAGACCCTTGCAGCCACCAGGGCCCCAAAACAGCACACCCAGCACACCCGCATAACATCGGCAAGAAAAGGCCGAGCACGACCAGAGAGTCGCAGCGGCCGCGCGAAAGGAGGCCGCGGAGCGGCTCGCTAAGGAGGAGCAGGCCGCCGAGCTGGAGTACCAGCAGGCGGTGGCCGCTAGCAAAGCCTCCCTGCAGGCCGCAGAGGAGGCCGCTACCAGGGACGCCACCGCTACCAGCAGTACCGATCCTGCCCCGGTGGCCGCCGCCACCGCGGCACCGGCTAACATGGACCCTACGCCGGCGGAGTCGGCCGCTAGGAAGTTCATGGAGATCGGGCCGCGGGCCGCTAGCCCCTCGTTCTCTCGGGCCGCTAGCCCTGGCCGTGGCCGAGGCGAGAGGGGCAGGGGAAAGGGCCAGCCGGCCGCTACAATCAATGTGTTCGACTACACGTGGATAACGTCCGGGACGCTAAGGGCACACCCGTGAGTGTGGCGCTAAAGGGGCGAGCCAGGCCCCCTCCGGGGGCCACGCTAACAGCCTTCCCAAAGGGAAGGGCTACTGGTACCTCGAGCTCTCGTGGTCCGCTATTGACCGCGATCTGTGGCCGCTGGGTTCCTGGGACCAGCGCTACGAGAAGGGGAAGGGCAAGGGGCCCAACCCCCGCTACGGCAAAGGTGCCGACAACACGCTAGTGAAGAACGCTATCCACAGTGGAGAGCACCTCTACTCGCTAGGCCGGGAAGACGTGGCACTCATGTGTCGCTCCTCCCGCTAACACGCCCCAAGGGGAGCGCGCTCGCGAGTTGCTGGCCATGCTATTGCCAAGCTGCTATACGCAGTACCAGCCTGGACGCTGCCGCTACTCCCTAGGCCACTGGGACGCTAACGCCTGTATTTTCAGGTGCGCTACGACCTGCGAGGTCTGTTCGCTAAGAGCCTGCAACAGGCGGATGTGGTTCAAGTGCGACGACCACGCTACTCACTGCTGTGATGGGTGCAAGCAGTGGAGCCGCGGGGAGGACTGGGGCGGCCGCTAAAAAGGGCAGCCCCTGCCTCGCTACAGGCCCCGGCCTCGCTACCTGCACCCGCTACTTTTGTCTTTGCACGCGGCTACCCTTGCAGCGCCCTCTGCTGCCGACCGCTAGCCGCAGCAAAAGTCAGGGTCGTCCCTTGCTACAGTTGCCAGTGTGTGCACGCTACAGTCATGCTACACACATGTCGGCAGCCAGAAAGAAGGGAAGGCTAGAGCGAGAGAGTGTCGGGAGTACTGGGGGGGGGGAGGCCGGGGTCGGTGGGGCTGCTAGGGCCGCTCTCTGCTGCAGCGCCCCCTTTCAGCGAAAGCTATCGACTGGCACTCCCCACACACACTCTCACGCTAGGAGCTTTTCCCCAATGTGCTAGCAGGAATTTTTCCCTTGACAAGTTTTCCTTAGGGTGGCGTAGGGCCCGTCGTGCCTGCTACCATGGCAGAGGCTCTGGCAAAGAAGCTAGCCCTCGGAAGCAGCGAGCTTCGATTCCTGCTAGTGCAGCATAAAGTCTCGGATGCTATCCAATCCGAGCTCTTTTCCAACGGTATTGATACCGTCGCTAAATTTGCAGCCTCGGCGACAGATGAGGCGGACCTCAAGAAGATGCTAAAGGACAGCTTTGCAATTGAGCCGTCCACCTCGCTCGCTAGCCGCGCTCAGGCCGCGGGGGTCACCATCGCATGGAGGACCGCTAATTCCCGCACCGAGCGGCAAGCGGAGGCGGAGGCTACAAGCGAGGTCCGGGACTGGGCAAAGCCCATCCCCGCTACCGACTACATGGCCATGCGTCAGGCCTTCACCGCTAAGTTCGGAGACCTGGAGGACAAGCAGACTCCCGCTAAGGAGTACATTGAGAAGAAGCTAGGCGAGCTCGAATCTGGCGAGTTCCGGGCGGAGCCGCTAACCGAGGTCATCAGCCGGGACGAGTGGGACCCCGACACGCTACTGCCCGTCTGGAATGGCAATGGCACGCTATCCATGAAGAAGGGGGGAGCTAGGGCCGCCACGCCCTCTGGGCCGGAGCAGCTACGGCTGCGGCTCACGGTGCTCCAGAACACGCTAATTATGATGCAGCTAAGGCACCCCAACCGGGAGGAGCTACAGGATGTCACCATGGCCCTCTTCGAGCGCTACAAAGACTATCTCCTCGGAGACTATTGCTATGGTCTCCGGTCCAGTGCCGACTCGGGGTCGCTAGTGCCCCCGTGGCCCTTGGTGCTCAGCTACGAGCACGCTATCAGGAAGCATGCGTACAAAGTCACGGCCACGGCCGCCGCGGCCGGCTATTCCTTCGGCGCTGCGCTAGTCCTGGCCTACAAGGACGCTAGCGTGAAGGAGAGGCACTTCACTATACGCCGCTAGCCCTCCATGCTAAACGGCCACAGCCCTGGACCTGGACAGAGGAGCGGCCTGCTAAGACCCCCAAGGGGAAGGGCAAAGGCAAAGACGCCCCCCCCAAGGGGGGCAAAGCTAAGAAGCGTCTGGGTGTCGACCGCACCCCGCAAGGGAAGCCCATCTGCTTCCGCTACAACGCCAAGGGCTGCAAGAATGGCAGCAAGTGCCACTTCGAGCACGTCTGCTCGCTATGCTTCGGAAAGCACCCCGCTACGCAATGCCCCACCAAGAAGCAGACGGAGGCCGCTAAGGAGGACAAGCCCTCCAACTGACCCGCTACGGCGGCCGCGCCCTCAGTGCCTGTGACCCCCCCCAGGGGGGATGCTACGCCAGCCCCGGCGGCCGCTACGCTTACACAGCCGCTACGAGTGCTTTACCTGTTCTCTGGTACATCGCGCCGGCTAGATGTGGCGCAGTGCTTGCACCAGCTAGCCCGGGTTCGCGGAACGCCAGCAGGCAGCTGGTACGGCTGGGTTTTTGGCCGCAGAACTCGGGCTAGATGTGCGAGTCGAGTGTGTCGATCTTCTGCGGCACGCTAAATACGACCTCAGCCAGCCCAAGATTCGGCAAAGCTATCTGGACCGTATAGCTACCAAGGAATTCGATGCGGTCGTGCTCTCTCCACCTTGCGCTAGCTTCTCCAGAGCTCCTTGGGCTAACTTTCAGGGGCCCCGCCCCGTGCGAAGCTATGAATGTCCCCGGGGTCTGGAAACGCTAACACCTGCTGAGAGGGACCGCGCTATACTGGGCAACATCTTTGCGGATTTCAGCTTCGACGTCGCTAACCTCGTGGCCGACGGTGCAGCTACTTTCCTTGCCATGGAGCAGCCCGAGTAAGGGCCCGCACCAAGGGACACGGCCGGTCTCTATGTGGCAGTGGCCGCCGCTAGCCGACCTTCTGCACAAGGGGCTACGGACCGTGGCCTTCCACCAGGCTAGTTTTGGTACGCCATACGCTAAGCCGACACGGCTCCTGCTAAAGTGCTCTTCTGCTATGCCCGACTTTGTACACGAAGGCCTGCCGAGCTATGACAAAAAGGGCTGCTACACAGGACCGCTGCCTTCTGCTGCTACTCTGGGCCGCATGTTCAAGCGCCCCGCTAAAGGCCCCTTCAAGACCTCAGGTTCCGAAAAGTGGCCCGCTAGGATGTGCCAGTGGCTGGCTACCTTGATTCTGGACTCCTGCCAGCACCCTGCTACCGCTGCCCGGGGGAGGGGGGTCCGAGACCTTCCCGACCTGTGAGCCGGAGGGTCCGCGAGTGCGAGGGGGTTCAGGACCACCAAGGACCTGCCAACAGCTAGGTGGCAACAAGAGCTACCATGATGGTGGGGGCCTCTGCTCTCCAGGACGCTGGCCCCACGCTACTCGCAGCTACGCCGAGGGTCCCAATTGGGACTGGCTACGGGAGAAGATGATGGAGGTGATCCTCGCTAAGGTGGGTTCGGAGGCGGAGCTAGAGAAGGAAGCCTTCCGCATGGCTGCCGGGGGGGCCAAGGGCTGTGCCCTAGCTAGCTCCGAAGATCTTCAGGAGCAGCTACGCTTGATCTGGAAAGAGTGGTTGGAAGCTAATGATCTGGGAGACCCGGAACTGCTAAGGGTGGCCCCGGGGCAGCCGCTATACCTTCGCCTCATCCGGGCGCTACTGACCGCGGCCGGCGATCCCGACAGGGACTTCCTCCTCCAGGCCGAGGAGGGGCTACCGGTGGGGGTGAGAGACCCGCTACCACGCACTCCCCACGTCTTCGAGGGGCCCTTGGAGAACGCTCCTTGGGAGGCGGCGCTGCCTGGGTCCCGAACTACTCCTCGGTGGAGGAGTACCGCGAGTTCGCTAGGGAAAAGTTCGAAGAGGACGTGGCGGAGGGCCTCATGGCTAAGATGACGCTAGGCGAGTTCAAAGCCCGCTATGGCGAGCATCGAGCCATCGCCGCGCTAGCTGTCATCGTTGAGGACGAAGCTAGTGGAAAGAAGAGGATGATCCACGACGCTACCCACGGAGTCCGGGTCAACCACCGCATC